CTCCACAAATGAGATGCAACTTACAAATTTACATTACCATCTTTGTATGTAAATGATGTGATACTGGTTGGCTTCAAATCACACAGTGAAGTAATCTGCTTGTTTAATCACAATGATGATAAACTTATTAAATTGAAAAGTGTAAAACAAGTGATTTGTTTGCTAATTAAAGAGTAAAGGACTGCTCGTGATTGGTCAATAAGTCAGCATTTATCTTGTTTTTATGAAGTGATTAATGAATTCATACATCTTGAAACCTTTATTGGTTGATCTTTGTGTTTTTATGCCTCTTTTATCCTCAGTTCATTATGTAGACTTGAAGTTGAGTCCGTTGTCAGTTTGTGATCTTGTTTTTATTATGCATCATGTGTTTTATATTTTTTAACTACAATGTGAAGCCAAAGATACAATAAAGATTACCAACAATATTACATTTTATGCACTTGTAGTTCTCAGAAATCAGATCTTGTGAGCACACATCGTATTCTTGAGTTCATACGTTGTGAACTGGTATGAATAAAACACCAAAGATGAAAGAGTCATTGTCTGATTCACCTAAGTTTATACAGCACAATAAGAACAACACACAGTAAAACAGTAAATGTAAAGAGTGTGAGAAACATATATATATATATATATATATATATATATATATATATATATATATATATATATATGTATGTATATTGTGTATATATATATATATATATATATATATATATATATATATATATATATAAAAATGGTTGTTTTTCCTTAAGAAAAAGTTGACTTCAATCATTGTCATTCTTTTTGTTAGTCTACAAGTAGATGAACCATAATAATAAGAGTGTAAGAATGCCATGCGCATAAGTTTAAGGTTACATGAAATTATTTGATTAGAGCAACATCACGATTAAATGTCCATTAAAAGTTCATTATGGAAAAAAAATGAAAAAACAGAAGAAGTATGATGTATCAGCCAAAAGTTTTACACCAGTGTTTATTGAGAGCAGAGCGTTGGAAAGAGTAGAAGCTTCTTAAAGAGACAGAGTCCTAAATTCAAGGCATCAAATTTTGACGTCAAATTTCTTTTAAGTTATTTTTGATACATACAGCAAGCAGTGTTTTTTGAGTTTGCATTAAGCTCTAAGTGATCTTGATCCATATTCTACATGTTCCTTTGAGTTTTACAACAAAATAAATGAATAAATATCATAAAACAGAATAAATGTAGCCAGAAATAAATATGAGTAACAACAGATAAACTCTACTAAGGGTGTTTCCACACTTGATAGTCTGATAGACTTGGTTTGAATGGGGACAAAAAATTACTACAATTGTTATATTTTCAGCTGGTGCAGTTCACTTACAGGCTGCACTGTGTCAAACAAATTAAACTCTTTGAAAAAGCTGTTCCCCTCCTCACTTGAACCACTGAAAGAAACAACACAAAATGTAAACTAAAACTCAGTGAAGTCAGATTTTAGCAGTTGTAGTATTTCTCTTTTGTTGTTGGTTTAAGATCGGATACTATTTCTCCCGTTAGTGCTAGACGTGAGTTTGTTTTTGTTGTATTTACCCAGAATGCCCTGGGTTATAGTTCACTTTAATCGAACCGAGACCTACGTTTTTAAGTGGACCAGAGTCTGGTTGCACATTCACACTTCCCCAAACGAACCAGACTTTCTAGACAAACAAACTAGAGTTTGATTAAGCCAGAATAACCAGGGATGGTACCAAACCAGCCTAAACCAGAGCAGTTAGATATGTGAAGTGTTTGGAAGCCAGACTCAGGCGCAGATGAAGCTGTGTTTCTCCTGGCAGTCCCTGCTCTCCCAGGCCCCCTGTTTGGTCAAAGCCACGCAGCGTCTCAGCATCGGACACATGTGGTCCTGATCTCCCTCTGGCCAGGCCTCGTACGGCATCGGGTCTCCGTTCACCCACATCCAGCTGTTCCCAAGGTAACGCAGGCCGATCCACACCTGCTTGGTGTAGTCGGACGACTGGATCTCTCCTTGACCCATAAGACTCTCTGTCAAAGAGAGCAGGCTGAGGAGGTCGGTGTTTTTCTCTCTGCAGTGATCCAAAGCGTCCTCCCAGGTCTTCTCTTCCGCTACTGGCACCATGTTCACGCAGAAGAAGCTGTAGCGGTCGTCTCCTGATCTCCATTCCCATGCAGAGCTGGTCCAAAAGGCATTTTGAGCGATGCGTGGCGGGTCTGTCCCAGTCAGGTTGACCGATAAGTCGAGATTGTTGTGGTAGGTGACAAATTCCCCTCCGGACCATTTCCACTTGATACTAGGCTTATCCCAGTAGAGGCCGATCCATCCTTTCTTGTCATCATTCGCAAATTTTTTGAACACCTGCTCCTCTTCTTCACTGGTGAGAGCCAAAAAGTCAGTAAAGTTATCCATGCAGTGTTTCCTAGCATCAGGCCAATTTTTGTTTTCCTCGACAAACTTGTATTTCTCACACCAACAGCAGGCATTTGTGGCAATGAGCAGCGTGAAGACGATCCTCTCCATCCTGACGGTGGCTTTGCACAAGAGCAACTGACTGACTCGCTGATTTTACCCTTTCCTTTACAGACATTGAAGAATTCACATTTTCATACACAAAAAATACTATCCATGAGTTCTTAAACAAAGCAGCAAAACTCGCCTTTGAAACAAATCCTTTTGTGATGAATATTCAAAGTGTTTCAAAGGCTGCCCTGAGGAAAAATTAATTTGCATCATAACTTAGCTTGTGCTTTTCTTCAAGACTTTTCTTCTTGTAAGGCTACCTGGATAAGATTTCATTTGGAAAGCAACATTCAAGGAATTTATTGCAAGCAATTTATTGCTTGTTTTCACTTTTTCATTCTCACAAACTTTATAAGCGTTTAGAGAGACAGACCAATATAAATGGTGAAGTAGAAGGAAAACAGGGCATGATTTATAAAATATTTTTACAGATGAAAATCTGAAAAGTCGTAAGAAAATTTGTGTCAGTCCTCATGAGTAAGGCTGGGCATATCAATCTAAATGTTGATACTATCAATATACAAAGGTGAGTATTAGTCTCAGATTAATACTTCTGTCTTTAGTTTCTCTCCCATATGTCCAAGAAATTATTCAAATTTACTCATAGAGTTTATGCCACATGCAGGAATTAAAATGCAAAATATAAAGAGCTTACATTTTCAATTTGACAGCAGGATTTCATACTTTTATAATGCTAAATATGAATGTGGCTGAATATGATAAAGCATTTGTATTTAAATGTTGAAGGAGAAATAGTATTCCTGTTTAGATTATGCAGATTGCAGTTAATAAAAAATGAATTACTTTATTTCTTTTCTGCAACATTGAGTCTAAAAATATAAATTAAATTGTGGCAGCTACAATATTTACTAAGTTTTCTTTAATAAAAATTTATCAAAAATAAAAGCTGTCTTTTTAAAAAAACTAAACAAATTTTATTTAGCTGGAGTGAAGGCACAAATTACTCTTTGGATTGTTAAGGCTGAAGACCCCTGGTTTAGTTGCATAAATATATTTATAAATGAATATTTATTGAATGTAATGTAAATAATGAATATTTATATAAATAAAAATGTTTAAAAAAATGAGAAAAGGAGTTGATGAGAAGAGGTTAAACAGATCTCAATGCTACAAATACTGGAAAACATATGTAAACCAATACATGAACAGTAAAATAAAGAACCAAGAATCTAGAAACCAAAGTGAAGCATTTATGGAACACCATCAGTGACAACATTTTTTTAATCATAATCCAAAATGATCCAATTTCCAATAATCAAGGTGATTATAAAAAGCAAAGAATGATTCTTCATGGTCAAGAAAATTATGAACAACCCTGACCATCCTCTTCATTAGACTGTCTTGGGAAAAAACGAGTACCTTCACTCAGAGGCTTCTTCAAATTCACTGTAACACAAACCGCTACAGGAGATCTTTCCTGCCAACAGTCATCACTGCCTGCAATAACTCTTTGAAGACTTTGAATAAATGAGCTACAACATTTAAATTTCCTTTGAAATCAATAAAATATCTTTGAATTTGAATGTCAATTTCTACAGATTTGTACATTTCCAAAGAAAGTTAGCATGCAAGACAGCAGCAAAACAAGCATAAAACTCTCATTCTTCACTAAGTACATCTAATTTGTTACTCAAATCAGCTCTCCAAGACATTCTGAGAACACAGTTTCTTCTTTGTTTGCAAGTTGGGTTGATTTCTAAACTCTTTTGCATGATTTGCATCAGTGATGTCATTATCCTAGCCATTCAGCATTGATGGTGAAGCAGCATGTGAATGGATTCTTCTAGATTGTTCTCTTTACATGACCAAGAGGAGATCATGTAAAGATGCAGAAAGTCACGTTTCAAAGCTGAAACATGACTTTCTACATACAGGTAAAAATAGGTTTCCTCTGAAGGCATGTGGTTGTGGGATAAAAAGCATACTTTTTAAACTTTTATTTGCCACAAAAAAATAGAAAATTGTGTATCACTCCAACTATTGGGATTGAAGGCCTTACTTTGCATGTATTGCGTCACGTTGGATTTCAATATATCACAGCTGCACATTAGTAAATGTTTGGATGAACTTGAAATTTAAATACGTGAAGAAACAAGAACTATATCCTACAAATCACAAAGAAAAATAAAAAAGAAAAAAGTAGCTCACCCCAGATGGGACTCGAACCCACAATCCCTGGCTTAGGAGGCCAGTGCCTTATCCATTAGGCCACTGGGGCACCGCCTGTGGCTGGCCGCAAAACTTAAATTGAACCTCCTAAGCAGACACGGTGAAATTGCTGTGTTTTCCATGTAGATATAGATTGAAAAAGTGTAATTGTCATCCGTAAGACGTAGGTTGCGTTTTTTCTTCATCTATACCAAAGTCAAAACAAAGAAGCGAAAAAAACTGAAGCTCGTGGTTGCTAAGCAACTAAGACTAAAACGCTGAAAAGTGAAGCTCAACATGAGATAGGCAAGCTATATTGGGTTTTCCTACAAAATATACCCCCTTTAAGTTATTAGGTTTTTAACATTTTCATCGCTAAGCTGTTTGTATAACCTGCGCTGGATTTTTTTTTTGTATTTAACTTAGTGGAAATAACACAACAAGCAACTGTGAAGCTGGAAAAGGTTTTTAAATGTTAAGCTATTTTTGTCGTGCTTTTAGCTTGAAAAGCTGTCGACGGAAGCTCCAACTTATGCCGGGGCCGTTAGAGCTTAGCTCATAGCGAGCTAACGTTACTAAGAAACGTTTTAGCAAATCTGCTGCAAAGGATTGGAAGATGGCGATAATTTTCTGATTATATTTTGAGTTTTGAAAGTTTTATTTGATTTTCTTTTATAAGATATAACTTACTCAAAATTACAGCGATATATTTAAGTGGCGCGGAGGTGAACATAAGAGTGTTTTCCGTTACCGTAGTGATAAACAAGACTTAGCTAACACTGAGGTCCTCAAGATATACACCTCGAAATGGTGAGAAAACTTGTTTATGCTGTTAATGTTCGAGTGTAACTATCATGCAGGAGGGTTTATTCTTTGCATAAAATTAGTATTTTTTGGCATTGTCACATCTGAGGATGACTATATGCGCTCATCATTAATATGGTTGTTGTCAGATTCTGTCACGCGTGAAGCCAGCTGTGGGAGAAGAGACACTGGAGAGCATCAGTGATAAAAAGAAGAAAAACAAAACCAAGGTCCCCAGTTTGGAGGAGTACCTTCAGCAGAGAGACTACCTGGGTGCCTTAACGTTGCTGGAGGTAATGCATCTCCCAGTGATAAAAAATAGTGCAATAGACATTTGAAAAGATTTAAGTGGATTGATAGAAAATTGCAAACGTTTTTGCTGAAATATTCATACTCCTTGGCACTTTGTCACATAATAACTATACATTTTAATATATTTCTTCAGGATTTTATGCGATAGACAAACAGAAGCCCTTAGTAACTTTGGAGGAGCTGCACTATAGAAATTGATAATTCAGGTGGGAGAATGTTAACAGGACAGTGATTAGTTTTGTTCTCCCTAAATCTGACCTGTATGGAGATATGTCAAAAAGAAAGACATTGCTGAAAGGAAAGCAAAATAGATACTATTCGTAGTTTTTCATAAAACCAAAACTGAACTTTTTTAATTATATCCAAGCTAAATACTTTGAATAATCTGTGGCAATGCGACTGATGCGTTAAACATCCAGCTGTAAAGCCAGAGCTATTTTGCAAAGAAGAATGGGCAAAATTGTTTGTGTCAAAATGTGGTTTCCCTGTTTCACATTTATATTTGACTTCGTCTGTCACATTCAGCTCCTATAAAACACACTGAAGTTTGTGGAAGTAACCAGGCAAAATGTGTAAGAATTAAAGGCGTAAATGTAAATAACCTCCATAAAGACCCAAACTAAAATGCCAAGCTCAAAGTTTTAGTTTAGCAATTACAAGACATTGTAGATCTTTTGTTTTTTGAAGAGATGGAATATTATTCTTATCTGAAAGGCTGTTTACTCTTTAGTTTCAGAGAAGCATTGGAGAAAAACATGAGAATACAGACCTGTGGATTTGCTACTGTGCATTTCACCTTGGTGATTACAAGAGAGCCATGGAGGTAATTCTTTTCCCCCCTAAATTACTTTTTTTATCAGGGCAAACAAGATGTGAACAATATAGTAGATGTATACTTCTGTATACATAAAATCATTTTACTCACGGCTCTGACTACATGTTCTGACAGGAGTACAAATCTCTGACCAAGAAGCCGGATTGTCCTGCAGAGGTGTGGGTCTATCTGGGCTGTGCCCTGTTTTTTCTGGGGCTTTATAAAGAAGCTGAGGAGGCGGCGTCGAAAGGTACCGACTTCAGCAAAACTCTGTTAGCATAATGTTAACTTTTGCTGAAATTTGTTTTTTAAGATCTTTTATTGTACATGTATGATTTAGCACGAAAATGCTGCACATACTTTTAGTTTAGTAGACATTCATAAAGAACAATGTTCAGTGCAATCACTTATTTATAAAACATAGAGTCAGTTTCTGTGTGGAGGCTGCATGTTTTCCCTGTTCAGAAATGGGAACATGACACCAGGAATGTTCAAGAATATCTTGTGGTTGCTACAGACTTAAAGGATTTAGTGGGTTTTCTCTGGGTACTCTTACTCCCTCCAGCAGTCCAAATGCATACAAGTCAGGTTTATCAAAAATTAGCTTCAGATGAAGGAAGAGTGTACACGGTTGTTTTTGTTGTCTTTTTGTGGATCTGCACCAACAAGCTAGTGTCTATTGAACTCTTCTGCCGCATTTCAGCCATTTTTCAATCTGCAGGTTGTTCTTTCTTTGCAGAGTTTTATTGGTTCATGATTGTACCTCCTACTTGCCATTATCCAACCGTACATCTTTGAAAAGCTGAAGTGGAGCCTCATGCTCAACCAATAAGAATGCACCAACCTCTTTTCCTCCCTGGGTTTCTGCTGTCTGAGACATTCACTTTTCAACTTACCATCATGGACTTTTGTCCTAATGAACTTAAAGGGCACCTATTGTGCAAAACTCACATTTTCCACTTTTTGTTTTCTTCCATTTGGATCTCAACTGCTTCTAAAAACAGCCCAATTGCTTAAAAATTACCTACAGCCATTTCTTGGCAATAAGTTAATGTTTTTTGGTGTTTGAAAAATGAGCCTGGTTATCTAGCAACCAAAGCGGAGCTCCATCACGTTCGGTTGGCTGATTTTGCAGCTGTATGCGTTGTACAATGGCTGCTGGAAAAGAAAAGTGTTTTGTTGTTGACTTATATCCAGAAACCACTTGCTGATTTCCTGTTGGTTGTGCAGGAGGCTCCACTTATGCTTTTCAAAGATGTACGGTTGTATAATTGCGCATCTGTTTGCAGCCATTTCCATGCAGGAGTATTAACATTGGATGGGGGGCCGTGGCCAGCAGCAGTTTTTTTTTGCATTTAAAGTGACAAGATGCCCTAAAACAGCTCATTCTGAAAGGAGATGAAAATAGGAACAACTGATGAGACTGAAATCTCATTATCTAAGAATGATTTTGGGTAAAACATGTTTTCACCATAGACCTATCCTCACCGGTTTAAAGGAAACTTAATAAGTTACCTTTAAGGCACTTTGCTGTTTTCATCTGGATGATGAGGGTGACTCTTATGAATTCCCAGCCTCCCTCCTTTACCTAAAGTTTCAGAGAGCTTGGTTTAAGGTGAAATAGATTATTAGGAGCCTCCATGTCTTCATATCGGCTCATCTCCTGTTTTGAGTTAGACGTCATACCATCAGATGAGGTCTGATAGACAAACGTTCATGGGTTTGTTTGTCTCTTCCAAACATTCCTTACTCCTTGCCGGTACTTGTCTGTTTCTAATCCTAATCTTCTTGCAGACTCCATAGTTATAGTTTCTAGAGAAGGATAGTTTGGAATAGACAAAATTTTTCTTGAATGGATATAAACTCTGAAATAATGAAATATTTAGATGTTTTTCTACTTCCATGAAATGCATCAAAATGAAAAACTCCTGCTGTTCTCAGTCTATAAACACACCATCTTTTCCCCGGATCTTCTCGGCCTCAGCAAAGGTCCAAACCATCAGGTCACGTCTGCACGTTTGTAGCCACCCACTGTTACCAACTCAGCAACTTTCTTGCTATATTTATTGACATTCCAGACAAAAAAATGGTATCGGCCAAAATCGGAATCGGCAGGTCAGACTTTTTAAAAATTGGTAAACTGCAATCGGTGCACCCCAGTACTTACTCACGTTACCTTTGTCTGACATTAAAAATTTAAGAATGATCTGAAACATTTATATATGTGACAAAAAAAGCAAAACAAACGATAGTTGCTATCCACAACTTGATCATTAGATGTCAGCAAACAGTTCCTTTCATTTGTGTGAGTTAATATAAAAAGTAGTTTGACTAAATACAATTTCAGTCTCTTATCTGTCATCCAGTTCTCCATTATTTTCTACATGTCTAGGTAAGTTGCCCAATTTGTTTCCTCAGCAATGGAAGTAACCAGCTGGTAAACACCTGCCAGTGATGTTGTGATTTCCGTATAATAAAAGTTTAAAATGCTTCTCAGCCTCTAATGTGACTCTTGGAAGCAAAAGAGTGATGCTTCCTGATGAGTCCTGTCTTTATTCACTAATCTTGTCCCCTCTCGCTCTCTGTAGCGCCGATGTCCCCTCTCCAAAACCGGCTGCTGTTTCACCTGGAGCACAAGGTTTAGCAGCTACAGCTTCTTTTTGGCTTCATTAAACAGTCTTCTGAAAATGTATTCAGTTCACCCCAGTATTTGTGTTTTATTTTGTGTTTTGATCTCTTCCTGTAACGCTGCGTCTCAGTTTAAGGACGAAAAGCGACTGATGGCCTTCCACCAGAACCTGGAGGATGTAACAGAGGATCAGCTGAGCCTGGCCTCCATCCACTACATGCGCTCTCACTACGAAGAGGCTATAGACATCTATAAACGCCTTCTGCTGCAGAACAGGTCTGAACTTCGTCTGTCCTCTCACTCTGAAATTAGCTTCACAGTCCTGGTGCTCCAAAACCACCGTGGCAGATGAGAGGTTTTAATGCACCAGTGTTAGACTTCATGGACTTCACACATTATGGAGCAAAACTAAATTCACACCACTTGAACTTTTTCCTGTTTTGCTATGTGACAGAGACAGACTTCAATGTGCTTCATTGGGATTTTTCACAGCAGACCATCACAGAGTAGCGCAAAATTATGAAACAGCAGACAAATTTAGCATATTTTCAATACTTCTTAAAAGTAAAAGTCTGAAACTGTTGCACATTTATCCACATTTACTGATTCTAGTTATCACTTTTATTACTGCCACAAAAAATACTGGAAATTTACCATAATCACAATCAATTGTACGCAGTAAAAACTGCTCAGATTACAATCAATGCTAACTTATTATGCAATTACATTCATGCGTATCCATCCTCAGACTATGGAGAGGCTCATTCTTTTCCTCCCACCTCATAATAATACCGTTCATTGTGCTGGTCCATTATGCCAAATCCAAATAAAATATGTTGAAGTTTGTGGTTTTAAGGTGCCAAAACAAAAAAATGTGAATACTTTTACAGAGCACTGCAGCTTATATTAGCTTTTTAGATTCCTGTTTGAGCCGACATTATTCAAAGTTTAATCAGCATTTCGTCTTATCTTCTCCCTAAGCAGCGTATTTCTTTTCCCTCTCGCTCTATGCCGTGATTACAGAGATTACCTGGCTCTGAAAGTTTACGTGGCTCTGTGTTACTACAAGCTGGACTACTATGATGTGTCTCAGGAGGTTCTGGCCGTTTACCTGCAGAACATCCCGGATTCAACCATAGCGCTCAACCTCAAAGCCTGCAACCATTTCAGGCTGTACAACGGCAAAGCAGCAGAGGTACAAATGTTTCATCTACTAAACGTTGAGGAAGCTTAAAGGTGCAACTGACTAAATTTAGCAAAAGAAGTGAGGAAAATTAATGTTTGGTTGATTATTTATTTGCTGTAACAAAGCTTTGTTGTAATAAATCATTTACTGCTTCCAAATCCTCTCTTCTGAAGCCAAACATCTTATTCTTATACCTTTAAGTTTAAAGAAACAAGACATATTTCAGTTTAATTATTTACTTCACAGTAGTGCCCAACAATATTAGCCTCAGTGGCATAGCGTGCTTTTCAAAAGTGTGGGGTATAAGAGTTGACTGATAAGAGATTGAGCTACTTTGACTAGGTCTATCGCTAAAAGTCTGATGTTAAACTGCTAAATATTTTACATTGTAGCTTAAGAAATGTTGAAATACTACCTGAAATGTAAAAAGTAAACTTATTTGCATACTTAACTACTTAATATAATACAATATGATTATATTAAACTTTTGTTTTTCTCAAATCTTAATGTTTTGTTTTCTAATTTCTGCTGGTTGTGATTGATTTTTCATCTGACCAGACAAAAACCAGCTGTCTGTGATTGGCTTAAAGTTGCGAACACAGTTGTTTGCATGATAAAAAATGTACTTTGCATGTGAAAGTCACATCAAATGTTGCATGTTTTTTGACCCTACTAGCTTTCCATACATGAGAAAGAAAGAGTTTATTGGACTCTGGGGGATATGTATTTAGCAAATGCTTGTGAGATTTAAATAAACACCACAAATCATTTGCTTACATAGATCTATACTCTGAAATCAGTCTCACTCCTTGCTCAGATTGAGTTTTTGAGCAAAACTGGAGGAAAAGTGAGGATGTTTAACCATCTCACAAGGAAACACGGAGGAGGATGTGACTCCTCCTCATGCATTTCATCTGCTTGGTGTGACAGAAAGTCTCAATGTCCTTCCAGATTTCCTTCAGTTTCCTTGTTTTTCCAGTGACGGGGATTTTGTGCTGCAGCATGATACTCCCTCCACCAAAAACTGTTAACCATTGAACGAGAGGATGTTGAGTGTGACCAACATACTCAACTTTTCTGTAAATGTGGCACCATTTAAAGGGACATGAACAGGCTTTCCAACTCAACAAGTTTTATTACTTCAAAGAAAAAAAATGAACCAAACACAGATTTCCTACATTTTGTCTTAAGTTTATTAAATGTTCTCGAGCACGTTAAGAGTATTGTAGCGCAAAAATATGTATCTTTTGCATTCTTCTATCGTATTCGAAATAAATAAATAAAACATGTTTGGACATGGGCTGCACAGTGGCGCAGTTGGTAGAGCTGTTGCCTTGCAGCCAGAAGGTTGCCCGGCCCCGATCTTTCTGCATGGAGTTTGCATGTTCTCCCTGTGCATGGTGGGTTCTCTCTGGGTACTCTGGTTTCCTCCCACAGTCCAAAAACATGACTGTCAGTGTGTGTGCATGGTTGTTTGTCCTGTCTGTCTCTGTGTTGCCCTGCGACAGACTGGCGACCTGTCCAGGGTGAACCCCGCCTCTCGCCCAGAACGTTAGCTGGAGATGGGCAGCAGCACCTCCTGACCCCACTGAGGGACAAGGGTGTTAGAAAATGGATGCTTGGACACAAACCTCATGCTTTATATATCTTTTATTAAATGATCATTGTAAATCAGCAGCTGTTCTTTTTTAATTGTTTACATCTTCCGTTTTATTTTGTGTGTTGCCTTTCTTGCTCTCAGGCTGAGCTGAAGAACCTAATCGACATCTCCTCCTGCTCCTTTGAGTTCGCTAAGGAGCTTATCCGACACAACCTGGTAAGCTTCCCATTATCTCCGGCTGCGAGCGCGGAGGACTGTACGGATGCGTGCAGCAAGGCCGGCGCTTCCTGTCTCCCTGAACTGCTTTGTGCTGCAGGTGGTGTTCCGGGAAGGGCAGGGCGCGCTGCAGGTGCTGCCGCCTTTGATCGATGTGATTCCCGAGGCTAGACTCAACCTGGTCATCTACTATCTGAGACAAGGTGTGCACGCACATCGCAGCCATCTTGGAAGAAGACGCAGACTAAAGGATAAGATGCTGTTGAAAATAAAGGGTTTGGGAATGTTAAAATACGGCTGCAGAATAAAAATGTGAAATAGCCATCAAAAGAAATGACGTGACATGAACAGCTCAGGGAAAAAAATGTTAGAAATGTTCTGGCATCTGACTTCACACACATTATAACCAAGGATGTGTCTGTTTGGAATAAAGAAGCTTTTTTCAATAGAAATGCACCGATCAGGCTGCATTTGGAGTTCTGACTCAGAGTTTATTTTTCTAACCACTGTAACACAGAGGATGAGAAGAATCTGCTGCAGATTCTTACCAGCATTGGTTGTTTTGATTCTAATAGTAAAGATAAATGTTAAAGCATCAGAACAGTTTTCTTAAACCTTTATTTGACTCACCACAGAGGGAGATCTTTGTTTGGATGCCTTGAACAAATACAGGGAAAATAAATTGATAAATTGTTCTGCATATTTTCCTTTGATTAAGGTTGACGTTTTTGTATTTTATATTGCAGGGGATGTTGCACATGTGAAGATCCTCTGCCAGTCTTTGTTAATTCAATCAGCTCTCGGCAATCATGTTAAATTAATTCTGTCTATGACTATTTTATTTTTTTGACTTGAACTTGTTTGGACTTTCTGTCTCTTTCTCAGAGAAGTCTGATACTGACATTCTCTGTTTTTGTATTTCTAGACGACGTCCAGGAGGCTTACAGCCTCATCCAAGATCTGGATCCCGTTACCCCTCAGGTGACAATCAATTTTAAACGTTTGAGTCTCTTGTTACTTAGAAATGACGGCACTATTTGTTTTCCAATTGTTTTCTCAGCTCTTATAGGAAAGAACATATCAAATAACCAAAATAAATTACAAACACGATGTTCAATTCAGTCAGTTAACAAACATCATCGTATCTTAGTGCACTGTGTTTTATTAAGGCAAACATTCATTTTAATGCTTGAGGATAATGTGCTGTTCACACTAAATGTTGTGAACATTTAGTTCACAAAAACATTTATGTGACGTTTAATAAAATTCATTATCAGATCAGAAATTTTGTTCATACAGTTTGAAACAGGAATTTAAATTATTCTATGGTAAAATAAGTTATTTTAACTTGATATTGTGAGTAAAATAATTGATTTTTCTTGTATGTAGTGAAATAATTATTTAGTTTTAAATTGCAGCATTAAGTTAAAACTCACAATTCAAGATTAATTAACTTAAAAAAACAATGTTTAAACAACTTATCTCTTGTTAAATCAACTTCATGAACTTTAATTTCTGAGTTAAAACCAAAACAACTGTCTTGTCGACTTAAATTACATTTTCAAGGCAGCAGGTTACTTTCATTTTCAAGCTAAACTAACGTCAGATGTACAGTGCACCAGGAAGACCCCCAAAAAATAATTATTTCTCATTTTTACAAATTCTCCTTCATATGCTTGATCTAATAATAATCTAATTGTGACAGGAGTATATTTTAAAAGGAGTTGTGAATGCTGCACTTGGACAAGAAATCGGATCAGTGAGTATTTCTGATCATTTTTGTAAAAAGACCTGCATGCCAGTACATCTGACCGCTTTGCGTGTGAAACGACTATAAGTTTTATGCTCCTGTATTTTGAAGAAGGATCACCTAAAAATCGCCCAGCGGTTTTTTCAGTTGGTCGGCGGCTCAGCTAGCGAGTGCGGTAAGCCAGATGAAATTGTCTCCAGTATTATTTTTGAAAGCCGGAATGTGTGAGCAGATTTTTCTCTCTTTCTTTGCAGATACTATCCCTGGCAGACAGTGCATGGCCTCCTGCTTTTTTCTCCTGAGACAGTTTGAGGATGTTCTCATATATCTCAACTCTATCAAGGTTAGTAGAGTATCTGTGCTGCTTTTGTGCTGCTATAAGTTGGATAAAGAAACCTGGTTATGAAGCATCGCCTTGAATGATAAGTGGTGCTGAAAGTGAATCTATTCTGGTTCATTTTATTTTGTTATGACAGCTGTATAAGCTTTTCTTTTTCCAGAGTTACTTCTACAACGATACATTCAACTTCAACTATGCTCAAGCTAAAGCGGCGCTGGGAAACTACAAAGAAGCAGAGGAGGTACTTTGATTGAGCCTTTTGCAGACGTCAATTGATTCTGCTGTGCTTTTTTGTGCTTATTTTTTTGTTCCCTTTCAGCTTTTTCTGCTCATTCAGAATGAAAAGATCAAGGAGGACTATGTTTATCTCAGCTGGCTGGCTCGATGTTGTACGTATAGAAGTAAAATTTGCGACGGTTCATTTAATCACAAATACAGAGCTTTCTCACATTCCTTCCATGTTACAGCATTGAACATCAGTTTGTTTGTGATACACCAACAGAAAGCTCAGAAAGACTGTAAAGTAAAAGGAAGATTAGGAGTTTTGAGCATTTTGCAAATAGGCCCCGTTCTCAGATTCCGCTAAATAAAATCCAGTGCTAGCAGCTGGTTTGAAATATCATCTCGAAAACCTCAGTATAAATCTGAGGTTTTCGAGAGAACATTATGCAACAAACATCAGACTTCACAGCGGTATAAAGCTAACTTTAAGCCAAGTAGGGAACACAGCAAACTCTGGGAGGAAAAAACTAGATGCTGGTGGCAGCATCATGCTGTAGTGACACTCAGCATGTTTAAATCCAGAACGGCATTATGATGGCATACATCAGGTTTTCTGCAACCCGCGGCTCCATTCTCTGCTCTTTGGCTTCTCCATTGTGGCTCTTACAAAGCCAAAAAGAAATGGACATTTTATGAGTTTTTTCATAAGTTCTTAATATCTACAACAGGCTTTTAAAAGTAAATAGCTTCAAACTATGCTACCTATTTATCGAAAAGGCTCACCTCATTCTACAAAAGTTTTTTTTTCTTTTGTCAGAAAATAGAAATAAATTCTTGTTTAATTTTGTTAACTTTCATAATAAAACATTTTATTAGTGCAGGATTAGAAAATTGTTTTATTTTGTAGCAAAAGTGGCTTTTCTCTGGTTCAGATTAAAGCATCCGGTCAAACCTGGACCTAAATTAGTTGGAGAATCTGTGGTTTGACTTTAAAATTGATGTTCTTAGATGTTCTCCACCCAATCCGACTGAACTATTGTCCCCTCCACTTCACAGTTATTCACTACTTTGTGTTGGTCTGTCACATAAAACCCCAATAAATTATAATAAGCAAAAAAAGATATGAAAAGGAAAATAATGCCAGTTCGATTTCTTTACTGAAAACCTCTTAAATGTGTCAATTCGCTTCAGATTTGCTTGAGCTCAGATTTTTACAGACAGATTATCTTAAATTTTCCTTTTGAATGCGGGCCTGACTCAGATGCCTTAACTGAATGGGGAATCACATCTGAGAGCTCTTGTATGCTGGTTCACTGTGGCTTGGATCTGAATCTAACATCGCTGCCAGATTTCTAGCCTCAGGCCTGCATCGAATTTAAGCTCCGTCTTTCACTCTGCTGATGTTACACTCAGCAGAAGGAATGGATATCTTCACTGGGGCATTTTCCTTCTTCTCCTGGCCTAATTTGCAGCAGTAAAAGCTGCTCATGGCCTCCAATATTTCCCAAATTTGAATCTTCATAAGCTGAGGCTGCCTGTGAGCGACGGATTGTTGAACTCACTGATCTTATTCCTGTCAGACATAATGAACCAGAAGGGCCAGCTTGCCTGGGAGCTTTATCTGAAAATGGGCACTTCCTCTGATTCCTTCAGTATGCTGCAGATGATTGCCAACGACTGCTACAAGGTAACACCCTCCTCTTTCTTCTTGCCTTGTCTTATTCCTAAAGGAGAACTTAATAAGAGATACTCTTGAAATTTCCTTTAAGGTCAGCTAAAGGAGCAGTTTTATGTAAAAAAATTATTTTTGCTTTGAGCAATTTTATTCTGTATTTGTTTTCTTTTTCCAAAAAGACATGACTTTTTTGAGCTTAATAATGTCATTTCCTCTGCAAAAAATTACCTGGAGTGTTGCCTTGATTCTTTTATGCATATTTGATAAATCCTGCCCCACTGAGCTCCTTCAGACTAGCCAGCAGTAATTAGCAAACACCTGGTGAAACTGCATTTGCTGAGCTCATTATTCAAGCTCCTTCTCAGTGAAAGGAACTTGAATAATGTGAAAATGTTGTTAAAGGGTTAATAGAGGAGCCATGTTGTGACGATGTCATGGAGTTTTTAAAGAGACAGAGGCCCAATTTTAAGGAATTAAATTACAAAGTAACATTTCTCTTCAGTATATAACATTTTTAAGGTAAAAATATATTGCTTTACTGATGATATGTTGCAAAGCTTTTTGTTCGTGGAGCGGTGCATAATTTTCATCAGGATCGCAACTAATTTAAATTACAGCATCATCTCCTTGGCCCGTGTCCAGTGTTGTGAAAAGTGTTTGGCCTCCTTCACATTTTTATTGGTCACACTTAAATGTGTCCGAACATCAAACCAATTTTAATATCAGGCACAGATAGCCTTAGGGAATACAAGATGCTGTTTCTAGCCGATGATTTAATTCATTAAGGTTATAAAAAAAAGCTATACATGCCAACCTGGCCCTATGTGAAAAAGTAATTGCCCCATAAACCCAATAACTGGTTCTGCCTGCCTTGGCAGCAACAGCAGCCATCAAACATTGGCAAAGAGCCTTCCATGTTGGCCCACTCTTCCTGGCAGGATTGTTTTTCTGCAGCTACATCAGTGGGTTTGGAGCATGGTTAAGGTCATAACAGCAATCTGATATAAAGCTGCAGTATGTAACTGCTTTAAAAAAGATGTGACTGTGTAATATGAGACAGATAATCTGTGAGAACAACAAACTCGCCTACCACCTCCTTGTGTTCCTACTGCCATCTGCAGAATTGCAATCACTTGCTGAGAAAAAATGGTTCTGCATTTATATTTAGCTTTCAGTAACCCTGAAGAAGTTTTATGTTTACTTCAAATGACCTGAAGAAAGCGTTTCTCATTGGACGACAATTAGGAAGAACTGATGGATGACTCAGAATTTAACTTTACATATAAATGTTTCTTCTTTTTTTTCTTTTTTCTTTTGACATGTACTTTAGCACATCAGGCTCAACAGATACAAGTGGTATTTACCAAAAAGTACAAAACAGCCCATTTCAAGCCATCAGTTTGAAACATCGACTTATAACCAATCGATATCCCAAACAGAAATAAGACAAGACCAAAAACAAAACAGAAATAATAAAAAAAAAATTGTCTTGTGTAATTGTTTTCAAGGCGTTTTTCCATCTCTGAAAAAACTTGTCAGCATTCCCATATACCAATGTTTCTAAAGCTGGACTTTGCAGATCAGATCATGGTGGCCATGTGTTGTTTCAGATGGGCCAGTTTTTCTATTCTGCCAAAGCATTTGATGCCCTGGAGAAGCTGGACCCAAGCTCCAATTACTGGGAGGGCAAAAGAGGGGCATGTGTCGGCGTCTTTCAGCTCATACTGGCAAACAAGGAGCCCAAGTATGTTATTCTCTTCCTTCTGCAGTGATTTTATCGCCTTTTCTCTTGCTGGAGTGGGTGTGATTTAATTTAAAATAAACATGACACATGATGCATTTTCGATCCAACCTTGTTTCCTTACATATCCTGTTTGTTCTGCAGGGAGTTACTCAAGGAGGTTTTACTCCTCCTGGAGAATTCAGCAAACCTTCAGGTTGAATACATTATCAGGATCCTGAGAAAGTGGGCCAAAGACAACAGAGTCCTCCTCTAATGACACTGAGGGAAGGCTAAGTGTGTCACATGAATGGATCTAGAAGGAAAAATGGTTCACTGTCTGCTACATTGTAGTGATTAAATACATGCATACTTTGATTATTTTTTCCCCTTAATGTAATATCATTTATGAGATATGACTTGCTGAAATAATCTTTCTGATCTGTAATATTTTTTATGAATGTCTGTTATTTTTTTTCTTGCTCAAACCTAATTTTCAGGAAAACATGGATACTCAAATCTCTGAAACAGAGGAGGGAGGAAGATCTTCCTCACACTGGCGATAGAGTGTGTTAACACACGTTTTGTTGATATCGTTTGTTTAATGAATACAACAAAATTATTTTTGTTGCTTAAAGTACTCTATTTTCCATATGTAAATAAACAATAGGATTAGAGTTTAATATGTGCACATTTGTTAATAAAAAACGGAACATTTAACATGTCCTAATTTTTTCACATGACTGTTTATGATTAAGTTTAGGGGTAAATATGTTAAATCTAATCTCTTGGTTTCACAGTGCCAAGGATAAAAGGAGTAAGATGACTCCAACATAATTTGACTTTGCAGTCAAATTATGTGGTGTTAAACATTTGAGAGCATTTAGAAACTAAAAAATTTTTTTAAAACCATCGAAAATAATTTAAAAAAGAAACAATAGGCCATGCAGTGGCCCACCTAAACCAACTTTAATGGGTGTTTTCTTGATAAAGCCAATTACGTAAAATCTGAAAATGAACTTCTTTATTTAAAATTGAGTCTGGGAGGACTTGTTTCCTTATATTTGGGGACTAATTGGACATTAAACTAGAAACTAAAAAGTTTCACTACAGGATTTTGCAACAGGTTTATATCGACTTGGTTTCTGCCTCAAGAGAACCCAACATTTATTTGTAAATGTAAACGTGGTTTATTGCATCATTAGGGGTGTTCATCAGGAGGTTACTGTAAATACTTTTGCTTTACTAGTTCTTTATTTTGGAATTCGAGTTTAAGGTTAAGAAAAAAAAAATCCCATTCAGCTTTGTTATGTTTAGACGAAAAGAAAAGCATCTAATGAAGGCAGTTGATCTCGGCATTAACAGCCAAGCATGTACTCCACGTATCCCACTGCCTGTCCTTCCTGCAGACACTTTATAAAGGTCAGATTAGTGCTCAGAGTGTTGTTATTATCGCCTGTTGTGGCGGGGGGCGGGCTTACGAGCCGCTGTGCGCTGATTGGACGTGATGCACTCCCCTGTGGCACATGGTTCCGTTTTGTGTGTACGCGCATGCGCAGCGACCCCTCTCCGCTGATATTTTATTTACTCCCGAAACCCAAGATGGCTCCTGTGAATGTCTCAGCCCCATAGCGAACCGAGGATGAGAGTAGCTGCTGAAAAAACAACTTTCCCTCGACCGTCGCATCCCCTGGAGTTCAATCCGTATGCTGCGGAGGAGGCTCTAACGCCCGTCTAGGCCCCGAGCAGCCGTCGGAGCTCCGCGGAACCTTCTTCAATCCACCAATTTGGAGTAGTTTCGCGAAGTAGCTCTTCTCGGCTTCGCTGTCTGTCCGGAGCGAGGTTCAGGCAGGCGGGCAGGCAGCTCATCCTAATGGCCGAACCGAGAAAAGTGCAGTTTGTCACCCTGTCGGCCTTCGCAGCTGGAACAGCCGCGGAGTCTAGGAAACGCCGGCTGGATGAGGAGACCGACTTCAACTTCGACAGAGCCGGGGAGGATGAGGCAGGCGGCGGGGCAGGAGGCAGCGCCAGTAACGGTCGTCTCGGTAAAACCGGCGACAGGGACAAGGCTGCTGCCGAGAGGAGGGCGACCGTGCGGCTCAACCTGTCCCTGTCCGAGCCCGACGAGCGAACCTCCGCCGAGTTTAATTATGGCGAACTCATTCAGAACCTCCAGGTAGGTTCCTCCGCTTTCACTCTTAGCGGACCGTGGGAAACTACTGCCGGAGTTATTTTACACCTCTTGGAAGTGTTTATATGGACGTGTCATAGTAAGTTAAATGGGGGGAAGTGCACCTTGTCCTTCCGTGGAATAGCGTGGCTGAAAGTGACCATTAGTACAAGCTCAACACAAAGGCAGCAGTTGTCCACTCCGTGCAGCTTTTCAACTTTAGTAGCGCTCTGCAGATTGTAGTGTATGTAACAGCGCTATCTCCTCCTGGTTGTTTAACGCATATAGTGTATGTCATGTTGCTACCTGTGTCCTTTTCACTCAGACTTGCCCAGCAACAGCCCAGTCACTCAGCCATTATGGCACTTGGAAATGCCACATGCAGTTTGGCCCTCTGGCAGCGATGAGACGGAGATGGGGGAGCATTGTTGATGAGCTGGGGACGGAAACACGTTTTAACTGTGTTCAAATCTGGATGATAAAGTTTATTTAATATGAAAGTAAAATAAATAAATAAATAAATAAAAAGCCTGCTACTCACAATTGAGTGCACATCAAATTAGAAGCTGCTTATTTGGACACCAAAGCGTTATTTAACTGCAGTTTAGTTGTTTTAGGTATTGAGTTTCTTGATCCTATTTCCGTTTTTCAATGTTTATTTCAGACTAAAAGTAATCTTCCAAGTCTGACCTCCTCCGTCAACCGCTTCAATGATGATGATGAGGAGGAGCGTGAGCGGCTTGAGGTCGAAGCCCTGGCAAAAAAGTTTGAAAATAAATACGTAAGTCATTATTTATCATTATTAGCTGACGCACCAATTAATCCACCACAGATTGAAATCAGCCAGATTTTTTTTAGACTGACTTTTACTTGATCAAACTTAAGAAAGTCTGATTCTTTTTCTTTATTATTAAATGCATGAGAGCTTTAAAACTGCATGTACTTTCATGCACTTTTCAGAGTTGATTAAACCCTGAACACTCTGGGATAATATATAAAAGGAGATCATTTTTGAAATGTCTTTACTTTCTATAAGATTGTTGTGGCTGGACTTTTAAAACACAAAGAGAAATAGAAAAAAAGTTGGTTTTTAACCAGTTTTGAAAACATGTGTTTTCAAAAGTTAGAAATACTTTAATGCTTGACTCTAAAGAAACAAAACATTGGAAATGTTTTGAATATTCTTTTAGGCTTTAGTCGTTGCTTAGCAACAGACTCAACAGAAACAGAAGGATACTCACATGCAAAACATGAACTTGGCTAATTATTGAATATAAAATAATGCTAATATTTTCATGCATACAGCTCTGTAAAAAATTAAAATAACCTCTTAAAATGATCATTTTCTCTGATTTTACTATTTTTAGGTAAATGTTTGAGTAAAATTAACATTGTTCTTTTGTTCTATGAACTACTGACAGCATGTCTCTGAAATTCCAAGCGAACATTTAGTATTTATTTGCAGAAAATGAGAAATGGTCAAGATAACAAAAAAAAAGATGCAGAACTTTCAGAACTCAAATAATGCAAAGAAAACAAGTTCATATTCATTTAGGAACAGCAGTACTAATGTTTTGACTCAGGAAGAGTTCAGAAATTAATATTTGGTGGAATAACCAGGAGGTTTTCAATGTGGTTCTGTGCAGTGGTCTCTTAAATGTTTTCAGAGCTGTATATATATATCTACTTAACATGGGCTACACACTTTAGACATGATCTTTAATCACGTTATAAAAAACTCTGCTTTTCCAGCAATAATCCAACAACAACCTTAAATGGAAATGATATTCCACAATTTTACTGTCTTCATACAATAAAGTAAGCGATCACAACACAAAGGTCAAATAGCTGTGATAAACAAATGTTTTTGTTTCCTGAATAAAAAGAAAAATATTTTCATCCGTATGAAATCCATGAAATTTAAATACCAAACATCGTACTGTCTGGTGAATCTTTCTTTTACATGTCCAGGGTAACACGGGTATGAAGAAGAGAAAAGACCGGATGCAAGATCTGATTGATATTGGGTTTGGTTATGATGAAACGGACCCATTTATAGACAACTCTGAAGCTGTAAGTACTTCCACTTCATGGCATAGGCATATTAAACTGCTGCGTATGGTCCACCCGCCAGCAGGGGGCAGCCAAGAGCATGCTAATTATCAAGCCGGATTTATAAATTCACGAGTTGTTAATGTTTATGAAAAGCAGTATTCAGTTTGATTGTGAGGGTGCACCAATTGATTGGCTCCGATTTCCCTAATTCATGGCTGCTGTCATACTAACGTAAGTGCTTTGAGGGTGGGAGGGGTCTTGCTGTAACTCCAATATGTTTGGTGTGTTCACGTATTGTCGCCTAAGACTCCATTAACACAGGAAAAAAGTTGCTAGATTTGTTGCTAGTTGCTATTTTGAAAAAAAAAGTCACTAAAGGAAACTGAAAACTTGCTAAATATAGTGACAGAGTTGCTAAATCAGCAACAGTGGGGTGACTCTAGTTAATCGCACAAGTGAAAAAGTGACCTGGTGGGCGAGTCTGTCAGTCATCTTCTCTCACTGCAGAGCAAAAGGAGACAATGGCTGATTTTTAGAACTTTTACAGAGTAGATTAGGTTGATTTCACATGTAATTATATTCCAATATTACAAAACTAGAAAATCTGTCCGATTTATCGGTGCACCCCACTGCATTTGCTGTGTCCTTGATTTGATTTATTTATTTCAAACAGGTTTTTAAAAACAAGAAGACAAACAATCAGTAGGACTGAGAAAACATATGCTTACTTAACCAAGAACAAAATAATTAGCTTAGCACTGATTTTCTCTTTAGAAAGCAGTAGGAAGAAGTGAAGACTTGTTTAATCCTACCCCTTATCTCAATTTAATGAAATATATTACTTATCGACTCAATAATTATCAAAAATTTGTAATTAAAACCATGTTTTAATATTCAGATGCCTTTTCAATATATAAATAAATCTATATTGCATAGACAAAATGGTTATAACTCATAACAAGACAAAATCTACGCCTAATGATAATAGTAATAATGACATTTTTAAATAACAACCGGACATACACCACCAGAAAAATAACCAACTCTTTGCCATTGTACACCCTATAAATTCTTCTTAATCTGTGTTTTGGATGCTCAGCTGCTGACTTGTGTTGAGGTATGAATCCTCCTCCTTCTTATTAAATATGCATCTGATGTTTAACAACATTGCGCTCACAGACTTCGAGCGCTAGGCTAAAGATAGCCTGATGTCCCTGTTACAACCAACCTGAGACTGAAGTTAAAAACAGATCTATATGCTTCATGGATTTTCAGTGTTTTTTCTTTCCCCTGATGTTGTTTTATGCTCAGTATTCAGCTGTTATAGCTGAAATTATTCCACATCCATTGAGTCTGTGCCATTAAATGAGTTTTGTTTTGGTATTTTATCTGCTTTTGCAAATCGCCAGCACCTCTTCGACTCTGATTTTCTTTGTTTTGATTCATGAAGGGGGGAAATGTTTTTGCATGTAGCCTGGGGATGTTATAATCCATGTCAGATCTTTATTTACTCTGCTGCTCCATTCATTTTCGCTGACCAGCAGAGGAGCAGAGGGTGCTTTTGTGAGATGCTAACAAAACACATTATCAGTTACTCCGATGTTTTTAAATCTGCGAACAGCGTTACAGTGTTTGTTGTGTAAGTGGGGTTTTTGTTTTCTGCAGTCCTGTGAACTTAACGCCACAAACTGTCTTCCATTGTTATTCTTCCCAGTATGATGAGCTGGTGCCTGCGTCTCTGACCACAAAGCTCGGGGGATTTTACATCAACACGGGCACGTTGCAGTTCAGAGCGGCCTCTGACTCAGAGGGAGAGGAGGACAAGGTGAGACAAGTCAAACACAAGCTTAGCTGTACGTGGAGAATTCAACGCTGTCGTTCTGGAAACCCGGTTTGTTTGTCTGTTTGTTTGAAAGGAGAATAAAATCACGGTGAAAGGAAGGTACGTGGTGTTTTAATTGTAGGGTTTCGCCATGCAGTCGGACGCAGTGGGATGCCGTCACTCTGGCAGAGGCAGTTAAAATGCCTCCCAGTGGCAGGAAGCCAGGTGTGGATGAAGTCCAGCCTCCGATGCTGTAGGTCAGGGGGGTCAAACTCAGTTTCTGTTTGGGCCAGATCAAAAAAACTGGATGTTCTTAAAGGGCTGTTTGTGTCAGAATGCACAGATAAAACCTATTAAATTGCTGAAATATTAATAAATATCTGCTTCAGGGTTCAATACGTGTTGAAGAGAAATATTGAACATCTTTTCAACCTGATCAGAGTCTGGTCATTGTGGGCCTGTTGTGCGGCAGATTGGGTTAGTGATGGTTACTTTTTTTATTCAGTACTGTGATGAATCACTTCTATCTCTGTCGGGTCAAAGAAAAGAAGGACAGTGGAGATTTTCCCTCTACTTTCTTCTCTTCGCTGTATATAAAAATGTCATTTATCTGTTCCAGAAGCTGAACAATGATAAGGAGCAGGCGATGAAGAAGAAGAAGAAGAAGAATGAAGTGAACTGTGTGGAAGAGAAGAACCTGAAGATGAATAAAGTAACTAAACAAGGGTAAGAACTGTTTATCTAATGCGTTGTTCAAACAGGACATCATAGGGACCAAATGCTTATAAGTGATGATATAATGTTTCTAAAGAAATCAATGAAGGAAGCTTGGAGAACGATCTAAGTTAATTTATTTCTTTTTTGTTGCTGATTTGTGTCTTCAAATGTCGCCTCAGTGGAAAAGGGCGTGGAAAATAAAAAGACATTTTTTCTCATTGTCTGAAGTTTAATCAAACCAAACTTTTCTTGTTTTAGGTCAGTCAGAATTATCAAAATGATTTCTATTTGCTGGAAAACTTGACGAGAATTTCTTTTCCTATATTTTTTGTAGCTTTCTTCAGAATCAGAAGTTTATACACAGCATGACTGCTGTCTCTTTAAACAGCGAGGGAAAGCCCAGATGATGATGATGTCATCACTTTAGAAACTTCTGATGGGTTAATTGACACATTTGAGTCACTTGGAGGCACACCCATGGATTCATTTTAAGGAACACACCGTTTTCTGGTTTCTCACGGCTGGAAATGTGAAATAAACACGTCAAGGTATCGGGAAGAGAATTGTCTGGTTCATCCTTGGCAACAATTTCTTGATCATTTGTAGCAAAAGATGGATCTGCAGCTAAGAAAACATCTGTTTTTTAGCTGTTTTTGTAGATTTTCAACATGTGAACATCTCAGCCCTTTCTATTTAACTTAACATCAATACAGTTTGGAGCTAATCTGTTTGTTAATCCAAAAAACAGATTGTTTTTTATTTTACAGATTTTGAACCAGGTGAAGCTAAAACTACTTGAGGAATTCTTGGTTGAACATAATTACAAATATATATTTTTTAAATCTTAAATGCAAAATGTATACAGCTCTGGAAAAAATGAACCGCACTGAAAACCTCCTGGTTATTGAACCGAATATTCATTTCTGAACTCTTCCTGAGTTAAAACATTAGTATTGTTGTTTCTAAATGAATATAAACTTGTTTTCTTTGCATTATTTGAGGTCTGAAAGCGCTGAATCTTTTTCATTATTTTGACCATTTCTCATTTTCTGCAAATAAAAACTAAATTTTTGCTTTGAATTTCAGAGGCATGTTGTCAGTAGTTCATAGAATAAAGAACAATGTCCATTTTATTCAAACATAAACCTATAAGAGTAAAACCAGAGAAACTGATCATTTTAAGTGGTTATTTTTAATTTTTTCCAGATCTGTATATATTTGTACAGCTTTAGCTTAATTTCTGCTCTAAGTGTGTTATTCTTGCAACACATGGCCTTTTTTGAGTCTGTACACTCCAGTTAATGATTAATTAATTGCTAATTTAGTTGACAATTATTTAATCCCATCAATAGCTTCAGTCCTAGTAGAAACATTATGAAACCTTTACCTAATGAGTATGTTTGTTTAGCTAAAGCAGCTTGTTGAAATAACTAGAAAACTGTTGTTTTTTTTTATCTCAGACAGCTATTCTGCACATTGGCATTAATTCTTTCCCTTAAATGGACCTTTGTTTGAAACTCTGGATGTTATGTGGGCCGGTGCAGATGCACACTGTTCCTTCGGTTGGTTCTTTTGACCCGACGCTCTCTGACTTACTCCTCTGCTGCTCATGAATGCTGACTGAGGCTCGCTCTGAGCTGCTGCGACAAGCCAGCCACCTTCAGGAAAATTCTCTATTATCCACACTTAAATATGCTGAATACTCTGAGACGCCAACACTCTGAAAACATCTTCTAAAAATAGCAGCAGCCATTGTGGTGGTGCCATTACGAAACAGATGATATTATATACGTGTGTGTCAGAGAGACGGATCTTTGAACGCGCGCTGCTCGCTAATCCCCCACATTCCCAGTAGCTCTCTGCTTTCTCCAGGCCTCTCGGTTGCTTTTGTCAGCGTGTGCTGAGTTCTCGGTGCGAACGCGCGTTTCTTATCAGGACGTCTGAGGTCAGCTGGTGTGTTTGTTAAAATTTCACAAGGAAAACTGCAGCAACTCGGTTGTCAGACTACACAATAGCCACTCAGATATCATGGTTTGCTCAGGGATTGAAACGGGGCTTGGTGTTGCTCACTTGTGGGTGTTTTCAGCAGGAGACTTAACTTTTTAAATGGAGCTAAGATCCAGTTTGACAGCTCTCTGCCTTTTATACATGAAAAGTAACACATCGGCATAAATTAATGAAACAACTGTTACACGGTTAGGCATAAATTTGGAACAAAATATAGCATAAAAGTAGGGCTGAATCATGACAGTCAACAAATTTAGTGATGGATTAAATGTTAACTGGACAATACAGACTCAGACTAATTTCTGAAAGAATAGAGACAAAACTGTACAAAAACATCTATATTTTATATTTAACTTAAGAAAAAATACTTTGTAAATAAGTTCTACCCATAGTATTAATACTTAATACTGTCTCAGTATTAATCCCAAAAATACTTCAATAGTATTTATATCAAAAATAATAAAAATAAATTCCCTACACTTTATTAAGTTAAGCAGAAACGGATGATCTTTTCATTTGTTGATCTTAGAAATGATCAAGCCTACATTAAATGCAACATTACAGCATTTTAGAAAGTAAAATGTTTATTTTCTTGCTTAAAAAAGGAACTGAATCATTTATTTATCATTTTTACATATTAATGATATTGTATAACATTAGCTTAAATACTTAAAATAAAAAATTGTTTTATCAGATTAATCGTCAGAATAATTGATTAATCGATAACTAAAGTAATAGTTAGTTCCAGCCATATGTAAGTTTTTTTTAATAGTAACTCAAATTAATTAAAACTTAAAGACTCAACACCTTTCAGCTCTGTCTGCTGCAGCATCTGTGTGACCTCATCTGATTTAGCTTTGCTTCATCTTATCTCTGTTTACAACCTTTGCTTCCCAAAACATCCAGCTTCTGGTCTGCATGCTACCACAACACATCTGTAGTTATCAGGTCTTTGCTAGTAGACTGAAGAGCTGCCGAATATTTGCAATTGTCCTGTTAAAATCTCAAAAGCAAAAGAAGACGAGTTGGACTCAGTATTTGGAGAGATATTGTGTTTCAAGTGCCAAGCATTCATGCTGCACGTATATTTAGTGAGTTGGAAGGACTCTCACTGCCTTTAATGCTCACACCCGATAGCATCACAGCTAGCATATTTTTAGTAGCTGAGATGCTAAAAGGTCACGAAGCGCGGTGGAGAGATCGGGCGTTTCCATTAAAGGAACATTTTCTAGGAACCAGTTCAGTTTCCCTGGAGGCATTTTTACCTCTTGAGTTAAATGTTTGTTTTAAATTGATATGATTTTATTGTAAAGCTCTTGTATTTTATGAATTTATCCTGACAATATTGTCTGTATTCTGCTAATATTTTGACTTTATTCTTTTAATTTAAAAAAATTCTTAGACCTAGCCAGATATCTAGGAAATTGAATACATTTTTGTGCATTTTGGTCTTTCATCCGTACGAAAACTCAGTTTAATATAACTAAAACGATTATTTATAAAAACTCAGACCAAAGTGAAGATTTGAGAAAATTTGCCTGCGTAGATGGGAAAATTAAGATTTGGGGTCTTTTCATTACAACCTGTGATAAATAATTCCTTAATATTAATGAAGAAGTACTTGAAGATTATTTTAAATTTTTCTCATGTGTAAGTTAATTTATCTGCCAATAAAACAAGTACTTTATCATCAATTTTAAGGAATTATTTACTTAAAACAAGCCTCTATGTCTAGCTGAAAAGTTACTTTTAAATTAGTTTGTCTCATTTCAAGGTTACCAAAATATTTGCACTAGAAACTAGACCAAAAATACTTGGTAAGATTTTGTGTTTTTGCAGTGTATATTAACGTATTATTTTTTCCAACTGGCATTGCCTTGTGTGTTAATAACTTTATATTTTAATGCACTAGGGAAAAGTAGTTTAACCTACATATCTGTCCACACAAATGAACCTCCTGGCATCATGTTTAATTTCTAACAGGAAGTTCTGGTTGTTTTGAAGCAATCTGATTGGCTGACACAGCTTCTAGCTTTGCGCTACACTGCCCCCTATGGGTTTGGCATGCTTAACACAACGCTGAGGTGCGTCTATGTCATGTCATGTCAAAGAAAACTTCTCTGAAACCAGTCTGTTGGTTTTATTTTAAACAATGTGGCAGAGATGTTGTTTTTATAAAGTTTGACCTTTATACTGTCTTTCTATTGATTGTTAAAGTTTCAGCGCTCCTGCTGTCGTCTCCAGTTTAATAAAATAAATCTCTCCTTATAGCTGCGGTAGCAATATGCAGTTTGCAATTGAAGCACAATCACACTTATTCTCTAAAAACACTTTAATTATAGAATCAGTTACCTCAGCATAGTAGGCAGCATCCAACCTTTTCTGTTTTTCTAGCTTTTCATTTAATTTGAGTACATACATTTTATTTCCATTAATGTTATGTGGTTTTTATCCTGTTTCACCAACTACTTTGTTTAATGTTATGGTCTCTTTTTGTGTTTTTACTGTTTTTTGTATGTATAGCACTTTGTTGAACACAGCCAGCAGCTCCTAAACAACAAAACTATTGTTTTATTAATAATATAAAGATGGCTGCAACTAATGGCAGCGTATTCTTTAGTGGAAATACATAAGCCTGACACAGTGAGAAATCAATTAACTGAACAGTAAATTAAAATGAGCGCAATGATTTCTATTCTGATGATTAATACTTTTTGAATGGCAATTCTGCTTACAGAGACGCTACAATCCAATCAGACAAATTCAAAAATATTTTGCTGATCATAAAGGGAAATTAAATAAAACCACAACTACATATGGTTTTTGTAGTATTTTTTTATTTTAGATATTTAAAATATCTTCCAGTTCTAGTCTTAAGTGTTCTTTACAAATGTAACGTTTATTGGTCTTTGAGAGGATGAACTTTTATTATTATGCAAATATCAATATATTACTTGAAAATGGTCTCAAAACGCAAAATTTATCGCAATTATTATTCAGACAATTCATGTTATTTTATTTATCAAAAAGCTGATTGTAAAGCACACTTAAAGCTACAATAATATTTATAAAAAGTGTTGTTTTTTACATATTTGTTAAAACTATTACCAGGTCAATCAACCTCATGTACTCGCTGCTCAATATATTGAAGGCGGAGAAACGACTTACCGCTTATCTGCCATCATCGGCGGCTATGCTAACTAGCTTGAGCATAGCCTAGCAGGCTCTGCTAGCTGCAGCATAGCGGAGAGTATAGGAAAAAAATTAGCAGCTACACACAGAGGGTGATTGACAGCGCTAAGACCCGCCTCCTGGTTCTGATTGGTTGTTTCTAGTTAGCATTGGGATGGAAGAACTTGATTTTTTTCACAGACTGTCTCATAATTATTCCATCACAACATGGTCACAGTGTCAACAAATATGTAAAAAATTATATATTTTTTTATAAAATATGAAAAAATCTGTTGGTATTTTTCTCAAAAAAGTTATTAACCGTACTGCTAAAAAAAAACTTTTTACATTTTATTTAATTTGACAGAGTGACGGCTCTCAACCTCCACCGACCAGAGAAGAAGAAGAGAAAGAAACTGATGAAGGACTCGCTGTACCTGGCGGCCATGCTTCGCCGTTTCACCCGGGAAAAGGAAGAGATGAAGAAGCGAAATCCCAGCGGGGATCACCTCCGTTTGGCAGCCGGTACTGCCAGCAAACCCCCAAACCCCGGAAATGCCACCCACCTCCCATTAGCCTCCAACTCCACCCACCTTCAGGGCGGTGGCGCGTCCACCGGCAACCTCTCGCTCACCGACCTCACCTCTGACCCCGCCGTGATGTCGCTGCTGGGCTCCGCCAACGAGAAGGAGCTGCAGGATCTCCTGGGAGATCTAGACTTTAGCCTGTTGGACACCGACCAGCAGCACGCCATGGCGACGGCCAGGGAGAACGGCATTCTGGGTATTGGAGTTCCCTCCCAAAAAGCAGTGGGAGGAAGTGGCCAGGGGCGAAGCCTGGGGTCTTCCGGCGGGCTGTTTCCTCCGCCGCCGCTGCCTGACGGACTTCCTGCTCCTCTAATTAAACGCATCGAGGACCTGCGGGCGGTGAGTCAGCCTCGGTCTTCTGGTGGGCGGCTGCAATTACCCATGAAGCCTCTTCTGTGGAGTTGAACCGAAATTCCACTCGGCTCTCAGAGAGGCTCCAAATGTTTATTGTTATGGTTTATTCCAGTGGGAATAATCTCCTGTGAAGTATCAGGAAAATAGGGCTTAAAGCTGAAGCCCTTCGGGGTTTTATGTAACCAAGCGAGGACTCGCTGCGCCTCACGGAGGAGTTTTGCTCTCTCCTACACCCTTGCATCTTTTTTTAGATGTAGGCGAAGGATTCACAGAGAAAAGGGACAGAGGTGAAAAAGAAATGGTGCGAGGAGGACGAATCAAAAAATTCAAAGCTTTTCAGACAGCGTTGTTTTGGTTATAAATCATTTATGGTTCAACAGGAAGTGTGTTCGTCATATAAATAGCATTATTGCAAGGATCTCATTCTTTTTCTTTTTCCGACCAAGTTTATATTTACAAATTGGACAAAATGATTGTAGATATTCCACAACAGTGTTGCTTTTTTTTCTTTCTCAATCTGACCTGCAATACTGCTGAAAAAACAAAACACAATATAGGCGATTCTTAATAGTCAATATAGATAATTATTGATTAGTTTCTTGTTTTAAATATCTGAAATACTCCCAAACTTGTGGCTTGACTTTTCCTGTTTTATCCTCAGTTTTCACTCCACACCGGTCTTTTTATTTGTAAGTATTATGAGGCGAAACCTGAAACTGCTGCTGTGTCGGTTACTAAACAGGTTGTTGCTAGGCAACCAAAGAATGGGTGAGTTGCTAGGTAACCAAAGAGTGAAGGAGTTTAGTTGATTCCACTAACCTTACTTAGCTGACTTTGAGAGGTTGAGCAGCTAAAGTCTTCCCTCTATTTTCCTGATATTCTATCAGAAGTATTACTTATTGATATTGATCACATGTCTCTCACAATGTTTGTTATTGATTTATTGTCCAGCCATTTAAGTTGACATTTGTGACTGTGTACAACATAGACCGGGGTGTATTTCCTTATTGCGAGGGAACACAAAGCAAACATCCCCCCGTCTCCTTCGTAAACAACAACGCGTTGCAGCTTCGTCCACTTTAGGTTCATTACTTGAAACGAGTCACGTGAGGCGCGTTTCCTGATGCGACTGTGTGCTTAAAGTATGAACAACAGTGCTGTGTGCTGACTCGGGCTTTTCCACCACAGGCCTCGCGGCAGTTTGATCAGGAGGGCAGGAAGAAATTTTTCACCCTGGACATGAATAACATCCTCCTGGAGTGAGTAGGACAGCTTTTAAATCACCGTCGACTCCAATTGCAGCTTTGCTCTCCTTCCCCTTTTATCAGCCCCTCTCAGTCACTTCCAGCAGATTTCCCCCGCCGCCTCTCCTGCTGTCTTCAAGTGTTTCGTTTTCTCTCTGTCTCTTATTGTCTGTGGTAATGACTTATTACGTCTCTCCGTTCATCCTCCTCTGCCACCTCCAGTCGTTCTTCCCTCATCCAGCTCTTCATCTCTCTGTTTTTTTTGTTTTTGTTCTCTTTCTAACCAGCTTGACTTTCTGTCAGTATTGAGCTGCAGGTCCAGGAGCAGCCTCCTGAGATTCGCTCAGACATCTACTCGCACATGGAGGCGTTTGTGCCGTGCAACAAAGAGGCGCTCCTCAAGCGCCTGAAGAAGCTCAGCCTCAACATCCAGGTGAGCAGATTGGGGAAAATCCCCAGACATTTTCGGATCCAGGATGTGATTAGGAGTCGGTTGTCCACACCGCAGCCTTTGTGAAAGCTTGGTGTTGTCTAAAAAATGGATTTAAAAAAGTCTGCAGCTTATTGAATGAAAGGTTAGCATTTTAGATTCAACTCATATTGAAAATTGTCATAAAAAGCTGGCTGAAGTTTTTTTTGTTTTAGCTGATTCTTAAAAATAAAATCAGCTTGGCTGTTGCGTAGAAAAAATAAGTAGAGGATTATTTGTCTCAAGTGCATCTTTTTTGTTATTGTGACCGTTTCTCATTTTCTGTAAATAAATACTAAATTTTTGCTTGGAATTTCAGAGACGTGTCAGTAGTGCAGTTACTTTTACTTAAACATTTACCTAAAAAAAGTTAAATCAGAGAAACTGATCATTTTTTTCCGGAGGTGTTATTTTTTTGTACAGTTTGGACTTAATTACTTGTTGCTTTATCAGTAATTAGCCTTTTATGGGCTTGTATATTCTAGTTAACAATTAATAAATGTTTTAATTAGCTGATGATTCTTCCTAATTAATCCGATACAGCTCTGATATGGAGGTTTGTGCTAAAATATCATGAATCTATAGAGTTGAGTTACTTTACAACATCAATAGATGGAAATTAGGCTTTGTTAAAAAGTTTAGATTCTAAACTTGAAGTGGACATAAATGGAAAATGACTATTATAAAATCAAACTTATCTTTTTATGTTGTTTTACTTTATTGTGTTCTGTCTGTTTTAATTCTCTCATCCACAAATCACTCGCTACTCATTTTTTCAGATCAGGGAGTCGCTTCTTTTTGATTGCAGATTTACAGCTCTGGAGAAAACTAAGAGGCCCCTTAAAATTTTCTCTGAGTTTACTTTTTATATTTATGTGTTTGAGTAAAATGAACTTTGTTCTTTTATTCAATGAACTACTGACAACATGTCTCTGAAATCCCAAGCAAAAATGTAGTGTTTATTTGCAGAAAACGAGAAATGGTGAAAAAGATGCAGAGCTTTCAGACCTCAAATGATGCAAAGAAAATAAGTTCATATTCATTTATAAACAGCAACACTAGTGTTTTAATCAGGAAGAGTTCAGAAATCAGTGGAATAACCAGGAGGTTTTCAATGCGGTTCAGTGCAGTGGGCTCTTCAGTTTTCCAGAGCTTCATTTTGGTACCTGCTGATTCCAAACTTCTCGGCTCTCCTCATCCTTGTTGCCGTTTTGTGCAGCTTCCTGCTCCTCCGCCATGTTCCCTGCCTGTTTGTTTGTACGGAGCAGGAAGTGGCTCTGCGTCCAGGCTACATGACGGCTTTCCTAATGCATCATCAGTAACGTTCTCTCTCCTCCTCCTCCCTCCTTCCATCCACCTTCTGCTTCTCCTTTGTCACCTTTTGCTGTTTTCTCTCGTTCTCTGTACGTCAGGACGACCGGCTGCGCGCGCCTCTGCTGAAGCTGAAATTGGCTGTTTGTAGCGTGATGCCTGAACAGATTGCAAAATATAACATGGAGTGCATGGCCAAAGTTGCAAAGTAAGTAAATCTCTCTGGGTTCAGATGTTGTGCAGTCCTGACTTCATGAGTTTTATTTTATTCATTTTGAGCTGAAAGTAAATCCCATTCATTGGTTTGTTGCCACTAAACCTTTTTTAGGAACTATGATAGTTTTCTGGGATATTTTTGAGTTACACGACTTCTACTGCATTTTATTTAGATGAACTGAAGTTACTGAACATTTCTGATTTGTTACATTTTCTTGTTTATCTTTGCTAAAACTCCTCTACTGCTCATTTTCTGTCAGCTTTTGACTTTAACATATTTTAAATTATCCACAAGTAATTTTAAATTAAGTAATTTTAGATAATTTATGCTTCAAAACAGAAATAAAACACAATTAAAAGCCACTAAATTGAGGGTTGTTAACAGATTTAAATCAAAAGAAATGAGGGAAACACCTGCTGCTGTTTGATTTATTTAATATCTGCTAATATTTCAGATTTTCATAGTTTGAAGGGATTTTAATTCAGTGAAGTTATTTTGTTTTCAAATGTCATCTGAAGAAATTAAGACAGACAAATTAAAATATTTGTCTAATATATAAACTTAATGTTCTTCCTGATAATGAATAATAATAATAATAATAATAAAAGTGTTGACCTTTTTTAGTTCATTGTGAAAGAATCAGACGTTTGTATCTTAATATTGAATTGTAATCTCTTTCAGAGTTCTTGTTGATCTGCATTAAGATGAATCTTTTATTTCTGCACACAAAACATCTCAGAGATAATTTGAGTGTTTTCAGCTCCAGACGCATAAAATACGGCCATGAAAATCAAAAAGGCACATATATCTGGCCTTTTGATTTAATTTATACTAATTTAATTTGGACTAAATTAAATTAAACTAGTTTAATTTAAATGTAATTCTTTAAGTTATCTAAATTAAAGAAATTAAATTCTTTAATTTTATCACTTTGTAAGAAATGGGTGTAAATTCAACTATCACCAGTTTAGGTGTATTTATTTTATTTTATTTGCTGAAATTCATGACTTCATGATTGAAAAGGATTAAGCTTTTTGTTGTTTTTCTTAACAGTACAAGTGAATTTATTTAGAATTTATTACGATTGCATAATTCCACAAAGTTTAATTATTATTATTATCATCATTGTCTGATTTTAGTGTTTTCTGCTTATGGATGAAATCATGAAACTACATTTAAATATAATTTACAAACATTAACAATAACTGGAGGCTACCAGATAAACTCTTAGTGGTGATGCGTCTTTTGCTTTTATTTTTCTGTTTGAAACGTAACATCAGCCCCACCAGGTGCCTTTTCTAACAAACCTTCTTGAAGCCGACCTGCCTGTGTTTTACAGGCAGCAGTCGGAGGAGGGGGACAGGAACGGCTCAGAAGAGGAGGATGATGAGAAACCCGGAAAACGAGTAATGGGACCTAGAAAGAAGTTTATCTGGGACGACAAGCTCAGGTAAAGATCGGACGCCGTCTCACATCCGCTTTGTCCTGATCCACGTTTATCTTTATGCTTTATTTGTTCCACATTTTGTTATTCAGCATCTATTTCCTGATCCGTCTCATCCGCGCTCATCTGCTGTGGGCGGGAAGAAAGAAAAGCAGAAATTATGAACTGATGTTTTCCAGTTAAAAATCTATGAATACACTGCAAAAACACAAAATCTTTCCAAGTATTTTGTCTAGTTTCTGGTGCAAATATCTTGGCACACTTGCAATAGGACAAATCTAACTTATAAGTAACTTTTCAACTACATTTAGGAGCATGTTTCAAGTAAATAATTCTTTAATATTGATGAAAAAGTCCTAGTTCCTCTGACAGATTATTTCACAAATAAGACATTTTTCCCATTTTATAAGTGAAATAATCTGCTGGTGGAACTGGTATTTTTTCACCAGCATTAAGGGATTATTTACTCAAAACAAGCTTCTATATTTTGCTGAAAAGTTGCTTGTATGTTACATATTTTTTTGCAAGTGTACTAAGATATTTGCACCAGAAAGTAGACAAAAGTACTTTTAAATATTTTGTATTTTTGAGTGTATTCATAGATTTTGCTATATTTTTTATTTTAAGTGTAATAAGATATTTTCACTAGAAACCACCCAAAAATACTTTTGTGTTTTTGCAGTGAACACTTCTCTTCAGACGGACATTTACACCCGTTTGGTGTTTCTTTTTAAAAAAATGTTGAAGTTTAGCCGATAGATTTTTAACGTAAGCTCGTTTTAAGCATTTGCAGACTTTGTGATTCTAAATCCAAAACATTTGAATGTAGATAAAGTGGGAAAGACAAAATAATTTGACCTGTTTTCCTACCTCAATTGTTCTTTTTCATTTTGTTACATTCATTGAAACTTTGTGCCGCCTCTGTTGTTATGAAATGAACTAAAACCTTGAACGTTGATCTGAATGCGACGGCCTTGTTTGTGCAGGACGCTGCTGTGCAACCTGGTCCGTGTGAAGCTGAGCTGCTATGA